CTATAATGGGATCTGACGCCCTCTTCTGGCATGCAGGCATACATACAAAGCACTCATACCCAAAATAACAATAGTAATAATAATGTGTGGTGGTGCATACCTTTGGTTCCATCACTCAGGAGGCAGAAACAGGAAGATCTCTACTAAACAGGAGGACAGCCTAGTCTATATAGTAAATTCAGGCCAGCCAGAGTAACATAGTATGAGACCCTGTCTCAAAAAATACAAGAACAAAATCTCTGAGCAGATGATGCAAACTGACTAGGCTGCCATTTTACAATGTTAATCCTTGGTAACTGCCCAAATTATGAAACTGAAGTCTACCATGCACCCCCCCCCCTTTTTTTAGTGATAGAAGCAGTATTTTGGTTTTCATTTTCTATTTTTGAGGGAGGGTCTTGAAGCCCAGGAAAACCTCCAACTAAATGATCCTTCTGCCTCAACCTTCTAAACACAGTCATCAAAACAACCTTCTGAACAACACTCCTTTAAGCACAATAATATACCAAATACAAAGAAAATCCTGAAAGAAGCCAACTACATTTCTTTTGCGTGAGTTGTTTATATAACACAAGCAAACCAATGCATCCCAGGGACAGCCTTGATACAACATAAATTAAGTAATCTTGTTCTAATGCGAGCTAGCCATTCAATCAACCCTGTATGACAATTACTACAGACTTCTGATAGACCAGCACAGCAGTCAACACAATAAAGAAATATATGAGAATACAAAACAGACACAAGAAAAGAAAGCATTGTTTGTCTAACTATTCTTGGGCTGCGGCATCGGTGAGTGTCAGTGTTTGCTTCTCGTGCATGAGGCCCTGTGTTTGATCTAAAGTAAAACCAAAAAAACCTGTTCCTACCACACAGTGGTATAATGCAATCATCTTGGTAAATTACTGATTGATTTCAACAGGCCATCAAATCGAATGGCAAGGAAACAATCTGTGCATCAGCATCTGGCCTGCCTCAAACAGAAGCTATTACTGTAAATACCGCTAAACACAAGCACACGTTAGTGACTCCAGGAGGAGACTGGTAGGCTTAAGCTTTCAGACTCAGTTTACGGCTGCTCACCGGCCACCTGCTGTTTGACAAGTTACTTACCAGCTTGTGCTGCCATTTCTCCAAATTTATCCCCTAAGATGAGGATAATTCTTGCAATTTGTGTCACAAGCATTTTGAAAGGGACCATGAGTTATTGTGTAATGCTCTTGAAACTCCTCAGATGTGGGTCCTACACAAAGTAAAGTATTATTATACATCTCTCTAGCAGCATCTGTTTGCATTATGACTTCCCCACACCTGAAACTGTGATTCCTGGGCACTGACCCTTCTCACAGTGCTCAGAGTCAAGCCTCAAGTCCTGACCTAGGTCATTCTTTTTACAAGTCGTTTATCATCTACATCTTTCTCTTCCTTAGAAGGTATTACGAAAATTAAGACTTACAAAACCCAGTGAGCTTCAATCTTGTATGTTTTCATACAATAAGAAATATGTGGAACAATTTGGAATTTCTAATTTAGAAATAATTTACCATATTTATCTATTTCCTACACTATTTTTAAAAATCCAATTTTATATAAAAAGACATTTCATTTGTAGATTTATGTTTTATGAACAGAAAGAATAGGTCAGAAAGTGAGGACTCAAGAAAGGCAAGCAAGCAGCTACCGCTGTGACCACACTGCTTTCACCGGACTGACTAAGAAGAGACAGTGTTGTGAGGCTGAAATGAGATACTCCATGTGAAAGAACCTGGAAAACCACAGAAAGCTACCAAAATACTCCGTTTAACAGAATGATACCATCATTTACAATCCTGAAACGGCTTAGCATGGCTACTATATGAGACCAGTAAAAACAGATGTAGGAAACATACACTCAAAGTCAACAAGTTAAGACTGGGTATACTGTGAGTCAAGAAACCTGTTAGGAAGTTTACTTTTAACAAATTACTTTTAAATCTCATAAGTAAATCTAGAAATATACAAATAAAGCTAACAATTCATTTAAGTGGACAGATATACTGAATAAATATATTTATTTGTAAGCTAAGAATTAAGAAATTGAGGAATGGGGCTGGAGAGATGGCTCAGAGGTTAAAAGCACTGGCTGCTCTTCTAGAGATCCCGAGTTCAATTCCCAGCAACCACATGGTGGCTCACAACCATCTCTAGTGGGATCTGATGCCCTCTTCTGGCATAAAGGTGTATATGCAGATAGAGCACTCAAAATAAATAAATTTTAAAAAAGGAAAAAAAAAAGGTTTAAAAAAAATTGAGAAACTAGCTTTAAAAGGTATCTAGAAGTTTCTATAGTAGGGAAAAAAATACATGAAGGTGCAAGAGACATTCATTTTTTCTTGCACTAATTCAGAAAGAGCTAGTAGTGAGGTCATACCTACGTAAGAGAACACAGATGGATATGGACTTAACCTAATACTCTTGGTATAATAAATGTCAGAAAACGTTTTATATGATTCCAGATATATAAAATATCCAAAATGGAAAATTCTCCCCATAGGTCATATGTTCAAACTACTACACAGCAAGGCCAACCCCTAAATGTGACTCAAGTAACCTTAATGATGCTAAGTTCCATTTCTTCGTTATAATTGTTATGATTATAAAGCAGTCTATGTAAAAGAAATAATTCTTAGTTTTTCTCTACTTTCCTTGTGACTTAAGTAAAGTTCTGATAAAGGAATTGTGTATGACACAGACATGTAACCAGACTGCTCAATTACAAGACTTGAAAACCAATTAAATAAGACCTAACAATTATCTTTACACTCATATCTCAAATTCAACAATTTATAAAAGGGGCAGGGAAAGGGCACGTTTAAAACACTGACAACCATTCCAAAGAGAAATAATTTTAGTTAAAACATTATTAATTTACCACTCATGTACTTTAAACAAAAAAAAGAGGCTGAAAGCTGGAGTCCTTCCTATCGCAGCCACCACACCTCCTTTAATTTCCACATCTTTCTATCTCTATAGCCTAGTTACGCTTCAAAATGTCAGAGAACCAGGGCTTTCGCTTAGGCTCGGAGCTCCCCAACCCCGTTTATAAAAGCAATTCTAGCTCCAGACTTACTTTTTGGTTATTTGTGTGACTACTGACAGAATTTAACTTAAACTTTTATTTCTTTAATTCAATCCCACAATATCTTTCTCATTTAAATTCCCTAGGCTTTAAATATACAGCAGATAGAAGAATTTCAACTCTCTTTATTTACTTCATTACTTATGTCTGAACTTCCAACTCTAGCTCTTAATCTCTGGAAAGACAAAGCTCTTTTTTTCTTCCTTTTCTCTCGTCTATTTTATATGCCCTGGACATAAATGAGCTGATCTGAAAGTGGAAACACGTTCTTCAACTTTGTATTACTAAATAATGTTTCCAGGATGAATTAACAAGAAGACAGAGATGTCACAATACAACCATCACAAAGTCAACAACAAGACCGAACAGCAGCTGGCTGTCCCCAAACCTCATCTGTGCAGCTTGACATTCTACGCACTGATGTATGTGTTCACCCTTGTTCTGAACACCAAACAGTGTTTAGTAATATTAAACATTTCTAAACCTCAGTAAGTTACAGCAAGCGTACTGGCAATTCCTACATCTAGTAAGTAATCCCAATACTACAGAAACCTCAACTTGGGGCATTTCCACACTAAGCAAAATGTGCAGATAGTAAATTACCACCCACAACCACCTCAATGCCCAAGAGACTATGAAAATCTGGTAAGAGTCTGTAAAAGATGCTTTTGTGAAGTGTAATACAAGAAAACTATCATTTAGTTTGAGTTCTACAATAATTAGACCTACTTATTAAGGACTCGCTCTCATTCATTCAATAAAACCAAGTTACATATTATGCCTCAGGAGGTGGGATTAAGACCCTACCCACCCAGCCTGGTCTCCAAAGCGAGTTCCAGGAAAGGCGCAAAGCTACACAGAGAAACCCTGTCTCGAAAAACCAAAAAAAAAAAAAAAAGACCCTACCCACATATAAGACTTAAACCTCCAGGATCTTGCAAATTAGGAGTAAAGTGTAGCAAAGGTGCTGAGATGATATGAAAGATATTTCAATTTAATGCCTGAGTTTTTACACCCACATTGATCTCTCAAAAGCAGACTATAAAAAACACAAACAAAACCACCACTGTACAATAAGCTGATAGAGAAAAAGGACTGCCATAGGGAATACCCAAGTGTCACTGCTATGAAACTAAGCACAGCAGCAGTCTCACCTGAATCTACTACCTTAATGTAGTAGATTTTGGTTATCACAACTGAAAGCAAAGTACCTAACAAGACCATCTCAAATGTGTCACTACCAATTGAACACAACATCCAGGAAAACAGACATGAAATGTGACCAAATGCTTCCAATTCTCATTACCTGATAAATTAGTTTACATTTTGCTTATATTACTCTCCACAGTCAGACCACCTCACATTCACAAACCCTTTAAAAGCTAGCACTGACCACATGAAAGCAGAAAATAGGGGGTTGAACAATATTTCTAACTAAGCAAAACAAAAATTACATATCTAAAGTATAACGGGGAGAAATGGAAGAACTTGGATATGATTTAAACAAGTAAACAAAAGTAAGAAGCTTTTATCATACCCCCCATGTGTACAGGAAACATCCCAGAGCAAGTTAGGAATTCAAAATCTGTTCAAGGTGGCTGAACTTATTAAAGATTTTGATACCTTTATATTTTATACAAAATACACTGAAGGCTAATTTTTGTTGTTGCTATTTTCAACCACAATCAATTAGGGGTCATACTAGTAGTAATAATAATAAAAGAAAAAAGAACCACAAACCAAAAACTCAAGAATGTTTAACTCTTACTTTGATTTCAAAGCTTGATAAAGCCTGTAAGTTTAGGTTTACAGAGGTCATAAAAACCATCATTTCAAATGTAAAATGCTATCAATGACTAGAAATAGAGACCTTTTCACTTACCTGGTTTCTTTCTGGATTTTTCATGACCAAGCTGTCCCAGATCATTACATCCACACGTGTACACAGTTCCGTCATCAAGAACAAATACAGTATGTCTGAGTCCACAGCCAACATCTCGGACCTTTTTATTTACAAAAAAGTCACTTTTTCTGGGCTCTAGTACAATCTCTTCATCGATTCCACCCAAACCTAGTTGTCCATAGGATGCATTTCCCCAGCACAACATGCTTGTAAAGACTTTGGTCTTCCAGTTTCAATATAAAAGTCCCTTCTGAAACACTGGAAACTTGGAGGTACCCTATGTCTGAGGAGACAAACAAAGTTAATAGGATTTCAAAGAAATCGTGATGTGTAACTGCTCTTTCATCAAGTGTTAAGTGACAATCAGGATTGCAATTGTTACATATTTAAAACATGCCTCAGAGTTATCAGTCAGTTCCAAGAACCAATCAGTTCTTTCATTTTTTAAAGCATCATATACAAATGTTTAGGAAATAGCCATCACTTTCTACTACTCTTTGCAAAACTTAAAACCGTAACTGGCTTTGACTTACATAACTCAGTAATAAGTACTCTTATGAAATTCTTTTTTTCTTTAAATAAGTTTAGTGAGAACAGTAAATAAATCATGTGTCTAATGCCCAAACAAGCAAGAAGCCAGCCAACTGCAGAAACATAACCTTGAAATCTCCCTCAACTCACCCAGGTCAACAATCTGATACCTACCTCCACATCAACAGAAAACTGAAGTTCTTATCTGTAACAGAAATTAAACCAATAATGGAACTTAAAATTGTCACAATTTAGACTGGCCTTCTCATTACTTATACTAATAATAGGCTATATACAAAGTTAGAATTTATCAAGTCATAATTTTAAAACAATCAACTCCATTTTACAAGTCAAAATATTAGCACCAACCCCTCTCTACTAATTTAATTTTAAAACTAAATCGATTATAACACATAAAATATTCAGTTTAAATATCTAGATTCGCCGGGTGGTGGTGGTGGTGGTGGTGGCGGCGGCGGCGGCGGCGGCAGCAGCAACAACAACGGTGCACGCCTTTAATCCCACCACTCAGGAGACAGAGGCAGGTGGATCTCTGTGAGTTCGAGGCCAGCCTGGTCTACAGAGTGAGATCCAGGAAAGACGCAAAGCTACACAGAGAAACCCTGTCTCAAAAAAACATAAATAAATAAATAAATATCTAGACTCTTCCAATTCAAAATTTTTTATTATGAATTTTTTTTCCCCTTTTTTTCAAAGATTTATTTTATTTATTATGTATACAGTGTTCTGCCTGCATGTGTCTTTGCAGGCCAGAAGAGGTCACCAGATCTAATTGCAGGTGGTTGTGAGCCACCTTGTGGTTGCTGGGAATTGAACTCAGGACCTCTGGAAGAGCAGTCAGTGCTCTTAACCACTGAGCCATCTCTCCAGCCCTGAATGGTTCTTACAAGTAAAAAATAGTATTAATTTATGTATACCTCTAGGACAATTAATTACCTGAAGATGAAAAACAAATTGTAAACAATCCCAGAACTTTTTTCCCCCCCAAAATAGGAATGGGGTGGGGGTGGGGGTGGGGGTAAGGCATTGACAGTTTAATAGAGAAATCTATATAACTTCTTCTCTTGAAAGACATACCATGAGGGGCTGAGAGACCTCTCAGATGTTAAGGGCACTGGCTGTTCTTTTAAAGGATCCGGATTCAATTCCCAGCACCCACATCGCTGCCCGCTACTGTCTGTATGTAACTAGTCCCAGGGAATCCTACGCCCTCTTCTGGTCTCCACCAACACCAGGCACACACATGGTGCACAACACCTAAGCAAAACATCCATAAACATTATACAAAAAAAAAAAAAAGCGTGAGTCTTTCTCATCTAAACCTCCGCTGTTTTGTTATTAAATAGCACCCGTACTGGAAGTTAGTCTTCCTCCTTGCTGTCCAAAGTCACCTAAATTCCTTACACTGAATCTGAGATTTCAAAACATAATTTTCCTGCACTTACGTTTATTTAGAAAGTGCCGAAGCTATACCACTACACTCGCATAACCAGAAATTTGATGTCCTCCCTTTGGGGCAGCAAAACTCGAAAGTTCCAGAGAGTTCTGCACTGTCCTTCCGTATCTTTTTCGTACGGTTAGCGGAAGACAGAAACCTCTCTCCGATTTCAGCGCGCTTCGTTTGGGCACCCTTTTTTTTTTTGTTTTTGTTTTTTTCCTCCAGAAGTCAGAACGGGTCTTGGAAAGGCGTTCTCTCGCCAGCAACAGGTAGAAGGGGAAGCAGTTGAGTTTCCTCTGCCTGACCATGCACCGCGATCGGCTCACGCGGCCCGGGGAAGGGGAAGGGTCTGCAACACACCCAGCCTCGCGGGCCGACCAGCCAAACTCCCGCAGCTACCGGCGCGCCGCGCCCGCCGAGACCGTCCCAGAGGGCTCGGCCCCGGCGGCCTCGGCCCCGGGGAGGCCCTTCCCCACGAGAGAGGTGCAACATCCCGGCCCCGGCCAGCGCTGAGGAGGACGCCGGCGCCCTTCGCCAAGGCCCCAGCGGAGGCCACCTCCGTCACACTACCCCGAACCCACAGGGGCAACGACTCACCGGGTCCCTCAGGGCAGGGAGAGCCCCTAGGCGATGGAGGGCGGCCGCTCCCCGGGACCTCTGGACGGCTCTCCGGCTCCGAGATCTTCTTCTTCCTCTTCCAGCCGGCCGCGGCGATGACCACGACTCCGCCTTCGGAAGAATCCCAGGCGCCGCTCAGCTGGCTCTGCTGCCCGGCTCGCTCGCTCGCTCGCTCTCCTGTGAAACTTTCCCAGGTTCCTCAGAGGAAAAGCGGCCGCCAGCACTCTCCGGACCGAGAGACAGCCGTCAGCGACCCGGATGGAGCGGGAGGGGAAGGGCTGGTGGCGAGCAGGGCGGAGAGCACGAGGGGTGGAGAGAGCCGAGGGAGAGGCCGGCGACAAGGGAGAGGGGCGGTGGTTTCGCGGGGGATGGGGCGTGGGGGGGAGGGGAGGGGGGGGAAAAGGCAGCCAGCCGGAAGTGGCCGCCGCGCACGCGCGGCCCCGCCCACTTCCCCGTTCGCGCGCCTGCGCGGGAGTCTTCCCAGGGTTCTTCGGACCCAGGCGCCTGCGCAGTGTTTTGCTAGTCCCTGCTCCTAACAGACTAATGGAGAAATGAGAGCTAGAAGCTGTCAGTATACTTTTTCTTTTTCTTTTTTTTTCTTTTCTTTTTTTTTTTTTTTTTTTTTTTTGTCGGTGTGTTCACAAGGGCTCCGGCGTTCACAAGGGCTGCTTAATGGAATTTTCTTTTTGGTTTGCCTTCCTGCTTGTAGGTTCTTAGCCTTTTCATAAATTTTATTCTACCTTTCCTAAGGAGATTCTGAAGTAGCCGACGAAACAATCACAAATATGGTTAGAAAAGCAGATGTCTCAAGTGTAAACCCTTAAACTCACCTGAACCTAATCTAAACATGTGAGGTGGATTCATAGCAATGGAGCAATGGCTTAGCTTAATCTTTGTCCGGGTTCTTGGAACCGTGTTGCCTCACATTTTCAGCTAACTCATTGGAAGATAAGGTTAAAATTGCCTGGCCTCTTTCACTCAGAAAAAAAATAATAATAATAGAGCGTGTGGCTGCAGCTCCAGCTTCATGAAAACGAAATCCAGGTTTCCCAGGCCAATGTTAACATCATCTTGATACCAAATCTGTCTGTTGAGTCTCAAAAAAGAACCCAGTGCATGAATGGAGGGCAAATTGTTGGGGCAAGAAAAAAGATGTATTCAGTAAGACGCCAAGACCAAGAATGTGTAGTACCTTACTGACATTTTAACCTTCTTAACACAGGTTCCATGCCCACTTTATCCTTAGGAGGAAATGATTGAGGAAACCCGGTAGCTAACGATCTGTGGGACTGTGTCAATCTTGAAGAAGGAGGGAAAAAACAACAACATGGAAATCCTGTGCAAACCAACTGTGCCGCTAGCTTGTGGGGGAGGGGGGACGGAGCTGCACAACTAAGGAGGCATAAGCCCTTTCCAGCAGAGGATAGCTATAAACAAAATCAGTCTCATTTAAAAATTAGAGAACTTAAAACCAGGCCGTTTTAAAATTGTATAGGACTTACTTTTACACAGCATTTAGTTATGTCTTTACTAGCTGTTTTAACCAACTATGCACATCACCAAAACTACATAATGTTGTCTTTAAACTTGTGGATCCTCCCTCCTGAATAGTAGCTGAGACTGGAGGTGTAGGCCATATTTTCTAGCTTATACCACACTAAGACCTGTTATTTTGGCATGAATGTGAATCATCTATAATCAATTCCTCAGTAGGCTTTTTTGTTTGTTTTATTTGAAAGTATATTTCAGATTAGGAAGTATTCAGTTTGGCATATGTGTGTTAATTTCCTGGACTATAACAAATGACCACAAATCAAGTCTCTAAAAACAATAGAAATTTGTTGTATCAGATATAGAGGTCAGAAGTCAGAAAGATGAAGGCAGCAAGTTGGTTCCCCCTGGTTTTAAGGGGAGAATTTTTTTCCATGCTTCTCTCCTGGCTTCTGGTGATTGCCAATAGTCCTTGTTAAGCCTCGAGCAAGCACCCTGATTTCTGCTCCCACCTTTATTTGATGTTTTCCCTGGGTGTCTGGATTAAAGTTTCCCTTCCTATAAGAACATTAGTGATTGGATCAGGGCCCAACTTATCCATTATGAGCTCATCATCATAGCTGGATTGTATCTACAAAGATCTTATTTCCCAGTAAGATTGCGTAGGGTACCCGAGGTTAAGATTTCAGCCTACCACAGTATGCTAGAGAAGTATAAAATGGTAAAATAGTTAAGAAGGCATAATTTCAATGTTGGATGTGAGAGTGCTCACAAACATTCTCATTTTCACTGTTTCATCTTTCGTATTGTCATTTTGTTGTTTTGTTTTTTTGAGACAAGATCTCACTATTTTGCTAGGACTACTGTCAAACAGAAGTACATTGCAAGCTGTAATAAAGGATAGAGTTAAGAATAATAGAGTGAATCCTTGAAATAGAATGGTCACTTAAAGTCTCCTTGGAGGAGTTGCCATTAAAAACGAAACCTAAAGGGGATGGAGAATTGGCTTAGTGGTTAAGAGCACTGACTGCTCTTGCAGACAACTTTGCAGTTCTGGCACCCACATGGTGCCTCACAAGCATCTATAACTCCAGTTCTAGGGAATCTGATGCTTTCTTTTGACTTCCTTGAGCACCAGGCACGTGTGGGGGGCAGGCAAAGCACACACATAAAATAAATCTGAAAAAGGAAAATTAAAAGAATAGACTTGTGAGGTAGAGGCTGTAGGATAAGGAGTTCAAGGTCATCCTCAGCTACACAGTGAGTGTGCCTGACTCTCAGGGTCTGGGGGTGTAGGGGAAATAGATAGGCAGGTAGGTAGATAAAGTAGATTTCAAGCCTAGGAAGAAATGAGAACATTTCAAGCTTAGGAGACCAAAATGAAGCCACTGAGGCAGAATAGAATATGACATTTCCAAGGAACTGAAAGAAAATTGGTGTCGGTCAAGCACATTAACAGTAGACATGTTTGGAAGTAGGTAGAGGGTATAATTCAGACAGTCAATCAAGTAGGGCATGAACAAGAAATTGATGCCAAGGAAGGAAAGGAGTGTATCTACCACATGAGCTAAGGGGGAAAAGCTAACCTTTGGTATGGGACAGAACAGGATTGCTGAATTAGTGAAAGGTGGGGGAGGTTAAGTTATCAGGCTTTTGCAATGATCCAAATGGGAGTTAATAGTGGTGGAGGCTGGAGTAGTAGTAACAGATGATGTGCTTTCTGCCTGCTCACCTGCTGCCCCTGACCTCACCAAAGCACCACACCCTGTCAAAGTTCTGATACCTGTTCAATATAACGCTGGCTTTCCTTAATCCACCCTTCTATCAGTCAGTGGCTAATTAGGATCTCCTAGAATCAACCTGTGAAGACCTATGAGACTCAACCAGTAACCTATTGGAATCAAATTGTGACCCACTAGACTCAGCGACATAAAGTTGACTAGTGATCCAGGCGCTTGTGATGGGGTGGTGTTAACCACTAGTCTAGAGGTAACCAAGAATCAACCACTGACCCAGACCTAGACCTAAAGGCAACAGTACATACATTCTAGGAGAGCACACAGGCTTCTGCATCCTTTACGAGGGATGAGACCAGCTACCTTCAGTTTCCTGGAAGAAGCCAAGGAGACCACAGATTCAGAACTCAGACCAAGAACATATTTTAGAAGTAGATTCCAGTCCAGTTCACGGACTATGACCTGAGGAAGGAGCTGAGAACAAGACAGCAAGTTGTCAGATGCATTAGACACACAACTCCAGAGCTTGAGCTAGAGTGACGGCATAGCAGTTACAAGTGTTTTCACTCTTCCAGAGGACTGGAGTTCACTTCCCAGCGCCCATGTTAGGAGGCTCACAACTACCTGTAACTCCACCTCCAGGGGTTCCAATGCCGTTGGTCTCTGCCAGCACCTACACACACGTGACATACACTCACACAGAGGCACACCTATAACATGAGTTTAAAAAATAAAACTGAACCACAGAACGGAAGGCCTCTGAGTCGAGAGGCCCAGCCTAAATCCTTCACCTCTTTTTACTTTTTGAATCCTGTAAAGTATGTCTTCATACAATAAAATGGATATCAAAAACAAAACAAATACAAGCAAGCTAAAAACTTACTTTGTGGATAAATTTAACAGGGTTGGACTAGGTGGTTAACGGGAGATTGTGGCCACTGGTAGCTTTTTGACTTAGCAACTGGCTGAGTAACTAATGCCATTTATAAAAATGAAGACTATTGAAGGAAATGGCAGATGAGGTTTCGCTTTGCTTTAGGGTTTTTTTTGTTGTTGTTGCTGTTTTTGTTTTCCAAGACAGGGTTTCTCTGTGTAGCCTTGGCTGTCTTGGAACTCTCTTTGTAGACCAGGCTGGCCTTGAACTCAGAGATCTACCTTACCTACCTCTGCTGGGATCAAAGATGTGCACCACTGCCCAGCAGCTTAAGCTCTTTTTTTTTTTTTTTTTTTGAGACAGGGTCTTGCTATGTATGCAGCCTTGGCTGGTCTGGAGCTTGCCAAGTAGACCTGCCTGGCCTCGAATTTACAGCAAGCCTTCAGCTTCTGCCTCTGGGGCTCAGAGATTATAGGTGTATGCTACAAAGCCCAGCTGGAAGATAAGTTTTGGCAAGAGAAAAATCTTGAATGTTTTTCTGTTAATTTTCTAGGACTACCATAATACCACAAATTTAAGTAACAGAATTTATTCAGTAGCTTATGTAACTTATTAATAACTTACATAACAGGGTTGGAGTGTAGCTCAGTGGTATAGTGCTTGCTTAGCATGAAAAAGAATCTGGATTTCATCCCTATTACCATGAAAGAAAAAAAATCATAACCTAAATAACTTATTTTCTCACAGCTGTGGAAGCTGAATGTCCATGGTGAAAGTGTCAGCAGTTTTTTTTTGTTTTTTGTTTTTTCCCTAAGGACTCTTTCCTAGGCTTGCAAATAGCCACCTCCTTGCTGTGTGTTCCTATGGTCTTGGGTTTGCTTTCTGTATTCTGGTCCTATCTTTGTTCTTGTAAAGAGATGACTCATAATGGGTTAGGGTCTGTCCTTGTGACCTCATTGCACTTTCATGACCTCCCCAAAGAACCTATAGCCACTTTCTGGCATATTGAGTGAAAGGATTTCAACGTAGGAGCTTGTCAGGGGAGAGTATAATGTGATCCACAGTAGTGTTTCTTTTTGACTCGTTTCTAGTTTATGTGTACAGGTGTTTTGCTTACATGTATGCCGGTGCACCATGTGATTGTGCGGTGCCTACAGAGGCCAGACAAGGTGTCTGATCCCTTGAAAATTGAGCCACTGTGTGGGTGCTGGGTACCAAATTCAGATCCTCGGCAAGAGCAGCCAGTGCTCTCAACTGCTGAGTCATTGCTCC